GCTTGTGAACTTGTGGTGCTTCGCGACTGTCTTCGTTTGGTTGTATCGAGTTTCTGATGTGCTCTTGAGGTTTTACTTTCCATCCACAGATTTGTTCATATCGTAGTCTCCGGATTTTGATTTCCGTTTCATTTCCGAATGTGATTTTTGAGGCTCGTAAATTCGTGGAACTTGGATTTGCTTCACAGGTTACAAAGTAAGGCTAAGTTAGATTGATTCGACATGGAATCTGCGTGTAGTATTCATCGGCCGAATTTGTTTCATGGTGGGGATGGTGCGAGTTACTGCTTGCCAAATCGGTTGATAAGTGGGAAACTATGTCCTAAAGGAATCAACTATAGATTTTGGGATCAGAAGCTTTATCCTAAAGTGTATTTGGGTAATAGATTGAGGGGGAATGTAGCACAAAGTGGTACGTTGGCTTTGAATGCGGGTTTCACTGGAAGATTTTACAGTCATTTGCATCCTAGAAAATCAATAGTTGGCAATGGCCACCAAGCTAAGAATATCCCCTTTGGATTTAGGTTAAGTTGTCAAGGTAATGATTCTCTAGGTAATGCGGGAAGTCATGAGGGATTTTCAGAAAGAAATGATGAAAGCGAAGCTACAGTTTTGAAAGAAGAAAAAGATGTGAAAGCGGGAAACGAAACTGATAGTTTGGAGGAACTCAGGGAGTTACTACAGAAGGCAATTAAAGAATTGGATGTTGCTAGACTCAATAGTACCATGTTTGAGGAAAAGGCTCAGAGAATATCTGAAACTGCTATAGCACTCAAGGATGAAGCGGCTAGTGCTTGGGACGAGGTGAACAAAACCCTTGATGTGGTTCGTGATACGGTTGATGAGGAATCTGTTGCTAAAGAAGCTCTTCAAAAGGCTACAATGGCGTTGTCTCTGGCTGAAGCAAGGCTTCAGGTTGTCGTGGAATCACTTGAAGCAGGTGAAGAGAATGGTGTTCCCGAAGCAGGTGGAGGGAATGGTTTTCCCAAAGCAGGTGGAGAGAATGGTGTTCCCGAAGAGTCTGAAGAGACTGAGAAAAGAGATGATGTTAAAGATAAAGAAGAAGCCCTTTTAGCTGCAAAGGATGACATAAAAGAATGCCAAGTGAATTTAGCCAATTGTGAGGCCCAACTGTGTTGTTTGCAGAGCAAAAAAGATGAGCTGCAAAAGGAAGTGGACAAGTTGAGTGAGTTTGCTGAGACTATACAGATCAATGCGTTGAAAGCCGAGGAGGATGTCGCAAATATTATGAAACTGGCTGAACAAGCTGTCGCAATTGAGCTTGAGGCTACTCAACGCGTTAATGATGCAGAGATTGCTTTGCAGAGAGCAGAGAAGTCTCTCTCCATTTCGCAGACTCCAGAAGAAACCCAAGGCCAACTCTCGGATGAAGAAACTCCTCTTGAGGATGAGGTGGTACTCTCAAGTAATATTGAAGATGTTAGCCACCAGGTTGAAAGAGAATCGCCAATAGATGGAGGTTTATTAGCGGTAAAGAACACAGCTGATCTTGTGCCTGATAAAGTTGGTCAGAAGGCTCAAAAGCAGCCATATGATTCGAGCGATAATGAGAATGGAAAGCCAAGTGTAGAGTTTTCTAAAGTGGCTGAAGCAGATTCTGAAAAGTCAAAGATTCTTGTTCAGACGAAAAAACAGGAAACACCGAAAGATCTGCCAAAGGAGAGTTCTTCTCTTAATTCCCCCAAGGCATCATTTAATAAATCATCCCGTTTCTTTTCTGCATCTTTCTTCTCTTCCAGTCAAGATGGGACCACGACAGTGTTTGCAAGTCTGGTTGATTCTTTCAAACAGCAATGGCCCAAGCTTGTTCTTGGAATTGCACTTCTTGGGGCAGGGTCAGTTTGACAATTTACTCTTTGTTTCGTCATTTTTTGAAGTACCATTTCAGTACATAAATTTGGTCTTTTTGTTGATTATGAGCTTTCTTACTCATTCCAGACTGACATTATACTCCAATGGAGTAGGGGGGAACAATCAGCTGCTTCAACAGCCGGATGTTATCAGCACTAGTTCAGAAGATGTCTCTTCCAGTACGAAGCCGTTGATCCGCCAAGTGCAGAAAATTCCCAAGAGAATTAAGAAACTGCTTGAGATGATCCCTCACCAGGAGGTAGGAATTATTGTTTTTGTTCATTTTCAAAGTCCCAAGCAAAATTGTATGGAATGTACTTTGCAGGCTGAAACTTCTGCAATAATTAGGTCAACGAGGAAGAAGCTTCCCTTTTTGACTTCTTGTGGTTACTGCTGGCAAGCGTCATATTTGTGCCTCTATTTCAGAAAATTCCTGGAGGTAAGTAGGATTCATTTTTTGTTATCTATATTCCTCAAACTCCTACGAATTCCATGCTCTCATCAGTCAAAAACATTTTCAGTTACTGGTCTTGCAATCATGTTGCATAGAGATTTATGTGCTGTCTTGATGGCTTCATCTGCTGCAATGTATAGGCAGCCCTGTTCTTGGGTATTTGGCAGCTGGAATTCTGATTGGTCCTTATGGTCTTTCGATAATTCGTAATGTGCACGCAACCAAGGCCATCGCAGAATTTGGAGTTGTTTTCTTGCTTTTCAACATTGGCCTTGAGGTACTAGTATTTAATATATGTGTTTGCTGTTCTTTTGCTATTGAACTGTGTTTGGGAGTAGAGCCAATTTTGTATTTATTTTTAATCTATTTGACAGCTATCTGTTGAAAGACTGAGTTCCATGAAGAAATATGTTTTTGGATTAGGCTCCGTTCAGGTGATTTGTTTCTTTGAAGATTCACGTATATCATTCCCAATAACTTATCAACTACAGTATGTACCTGCTTGATGTTTCTGTGTTCAAGCTCTCTAATCTACCGTTCTTTTGCTGTAATCTAGGTTCTTGTGACAGCAGCAGTAGTTGGATTGATTGCTCATTATGTTGCTGGTCAGGCTGGTCCAGCGGCAATAGTTATTGGAAATGGCCTGGCACTGTCCTCCACTGCTGTTGTCCTTCAGGTAAGATTTTATGCTGTATTTAGATAGATATCTTAATGAAAGGAATTATGTATTATGCAATTACCAATTTGTTGAACAGAAACAATGTACTTGGGTTTCAGGTTCTACAAGAACGGGGTGAGAGTACATCTAGACATGGACGGGCTTCATTTTCCGTCTTGCTTTTTCAGGTCGGTTCAAAACAGTGTTCATTCTGCACGTGTATAAAAATAACGATGCTGGAATTTCTCATCATTTTGTTATTTTTTCTTCACAGGATCTAGCCGTAGTTGTTTTACTGATTCTCATCCCACTTATTTCACCTAATTCATCGAAAGGAGGGGTAAGCTCATCTCTAGGATTCCTTTGTTTTCTTGAGTACGGTTTCCCCGTAAGAAGAAATTATGTGGTTATCTGTTGCTAGTAGTGCTTGTAAGTTCTAGTATGCTAGATATTTCTATTTAGTTAAGGATGTCTAAAATTTCTAAGTTTCTTCTCAGGTTGGGTTTCAAGCCATTGCAGAAGCTCTTGGGCTTGCTGCAGTAAAAGCAGCAGTTGCTATTACTGCCATAATTGCTGGTGGACGTCTTGTAAGTCTCAGATACTTTTGAGACGCGGGATATCAAAATAAGTTAATAACCAAAGTTTCAATGAACTTATAATGAAGTTTACTGTGCTATTACTGCTACTTCGGGTACTCATTCATATTTTACAGTGGAGCTATATCTAATGCATTGACACTCTTATGMCACACAGCTTCTTCGCCCAATCTACAAGCAAATTGCTGAAAATCGAAATGCCGAGATATTCTCTGCCAACACACTTCTCGTTATTCTTGGTACTAGTTTACTGACAGCTAGGGTATGACCTTGATCTTGTCGGTATTTGCTCCTTTACGTTTATTCCGCCGTGCCATTTTTCTCTTCTGCTAAATTTGTTGTTTCTATAAATCAGGCTGGACTTTCCATGGCATTAGGAGCGTTTTTGGCTGGTCTACTTCTTGCAGAGACAGAATTTTCCTTGCAAGTAGAATCAGATATTGCTCCATACCGTGGTCTTCTACTGGGACTATTCTTCATGACGGTAAATGATGAGTTTCAAAATAACTATATCTCTGAGGGTTCAGGGAATTACTGATGCTAAAGGAAGTCTTATTATGTTCGAGTAGATTCTGATACTGTATGCACGTGTAGTCACAAGCATAAAACTAACAAAAAGACCACTCATTTCAGGTTGGCATGTCTATTGATCCGAAACTTCTTCTCTCTAACTTCCCTGTCGTCGTGGGAACTTTGGGGCTCTTGATAGTAGGCAAGACTATGTTAGTCGTGATCATGGGAAAGTTGTTTGGTATTTCAATCATATCTGCAATTAGAGCCGGTCTTCTTCTGGCTCCAGGCGGAGAGTTTGCATTTGTTGCTTTCGGAGAAGCAGTCAATCAGGTTTGTTGTAAAAACTTGATAGTTTCCCTTACACGTACAAATATTTTTAGCTGTTTTTTTTTTCTGAGGCTCTAGTTGGTGGTTCTTCCAGGGCATAATGTCTCCTCAGCTGTCTTCGTTGCTGTTTCTTGTCGTGGGAATCTCAATGGCTATCACACCTTGGTTAGCTGCTGGTGGCCAGTTAATTGCATCCCGATTTGAATTGCATGATGTTCGAAGTTTATTGCCGGTTGAAAATGAGGTAGGAATCTTGATGATACGTGTATAGAATTTAAATTCTGTAAGTCAACAATCTATCGATCTTGGTACCACTTGGCTTCATTGCCGTTCTGAAGCTCACACATTCTTTGGTTCAGGAATCATTATAAGGCTGACTGATGTCTAATCCCTCTATATCTTGTCTGATTTTATTTGCAGACGGATGATTTGCAGGATCACATAATTATCTGCGGATTTGGACGAGTTGGTCAGGTTAATACATTATCTTCTTCAGTTTATGCTCTCACATGAGAACCTCCGTGTAGATAGTCTGCTTGACGGGAAATCACGGAGTTGGAGTTATTGACTTCTTCGTCATATTCTATTTGTTACTTCCAGATAATTGCTCAGCTTCTTTCAGAAAGACTTATCCCATTCGTCGCCCTCGATGTCAGCAGGTAACATAACGCCGCTTATTGTCGAAGTATCAGTTTTGTGGAATAGGCTGTCAAATTGGGTTAAACTGGGTTTCAGATAGTTTTTTCTCAAATAAAACCGAAAATGTGAGCACTATCAGTAACTTCCACACACACTGAGATCACATTTCAGCCTCTCTGATTTAAAATATGTGTTTCCCATACTTCTTCCTCGCATTATGTGCTTACCTGAAAACGTCATATTTGATTTACAGTGATAGAGTGACTATCGGGCGTTCCATGGATCTTCCTGTTTATTTTGGAGACGCTGGTAGTAGAGAGGTACAAAAAACTAGAAGATGCATGAAACAGTTAACAGACTGTACCAGCGTTTGAACATTGTTACTTTACTTGTGGAAACAAACAGGTTCTCCACAAAATTGGAGCTGAGAGAGCATGTGCTGCTGTGGTTGCCTTAGACGCACCAGGAGCAAATTACAGATGTGTCTGGGCTTTGAGCAAGTATTACCCCAATGTCAAAACCTTTGTCCGTGCTCACGACGTTGTTCATGGTCTTAATCTAGAAAAAGCCGGTGCTACTGCTGTAATGTTCACAAACCCCTTCACTCCACTGGAAAAGATACACGCTTTCTTGATCATGCACTGATAAATCTCGATCACAAAAACTCGTAGGTTGTCCCGGAGACTCTGGAGCCGAGTCTACAGTTGGCAGCTGCTGTTCTTGCTCAGGTAAAACATAATGATTTCATGTCGGTGGAAACATCTTAAACTCAGAATAAACACAGTGTATGATCCTTTTTGGGTTACCTTCGTAGGCAAAATTACCAACATCAGAAATAGCAAACACAATCAACGAGTTCAGAACCCGTCACCTGTCTGAACTAACTGAGGTGTGTTTCATTTTTGATCGACTTCACCTGCCTATGTTTAATCATAATCTGGTTTGGTCTGATTGATTTGTGTTGGAATATGGTATAATGGTAATGGCAGCTATGTGAAACAAGCGGAAGCTCTCTGGGCTACGGTTTCTCAAGGACGAGTAAGCCTAAACCTCAATCGTCAAATGCATCTGATGACAATCAGATAATCGAAGGAGGCACACTCGCTATCTGATGGCCTTTTCTTCATTCTGGTAAAAACAAGAACAATTTTCACCTTCTTGTGGTGGCCATTTTTTTCCTGGATTTTTCTTTCAGGGAAAATGTATGTCCCTTTAACATTTTTTCTAACCATCACCGACTTGTGGGTCGCGGTGTATGGTGAACTGATTCATCCGACCAAGGATCCATCATATGTTCATGTTCAGTACATATAATCTCATTTGGGTTGACAAGTCTCTGATCTCACAGACCAACTATTAGCAATGCCAGTTTCTAAGCATCCTCCAGAATCAAAGATAAAGCATACCTTCAGACACATTATAATTGTGGAAGATGGTGACATTATTACAAAAAAATGGTTTAATTATTTGAAGAGATGCTGATTTATAAGTCTTGTTTGTCATTTAATCGGGAAAAAAGAAAAATCAAATCGTACAATCCATGATACATAATATGGGGCCAATGATTCGATTTATAATTTTTGTGGGTTTAAAATTTCCACCTTGTTATTAGGGGGGGTTTTATTGCAATATTTATGTTAGTCAGGTAGATTTTCCTAAATATTTGAAATGTGAAAGCTAGACTTACAAAAACAAGATACTTTGAGGTTTCTTTTGCAAAACACCATTTTTGATTGCCATGAAATTTGTTGTATCAAGGTTGGTGGCTATTTTGCAG